TTAATCTGCTTGCCAAAACATATTCAATGTACTGGATCTCATTTATACGGATTGGAAAAAAGAACTTAAATATTTTATTCACAACGTAAGGGTACAAAATGTATTTACTACTCCTATACCTAATCCTTTTACTTTAAGATACCCAAGATAACATTAATGCTTTGAATAAGTGAAATAAAACAAATGACATGTCTTGGTGCAATATTCTAGAGTTTATCTCAAATACACTCCAAAGCTAACATTTGTATTATTTTATTTGCTTTAAGCATTATGCTAAATCTCAATGAGATGTTTTTGTGAGATTAGATAAAGTGTATGCCTAAATACTATGTCAGATTTGAATACCATCGAGATAGCCTAAGGAACTCCAGTAAAATATCGTATTTTGAAAATAATTGTTTATTATTTAAAAATTAATTGGAGGTCACTGGGGCTGACTTGGGTGGTAAGCTTCAAGTTGACATGATTATTGCCTTACTACCATACTCGTTCGACTATTTTAGAGTGAACTAAATTAGGAACCAGTTTGAGTTAATATTCTTATAGAGTTGGCAACATATGAAGGGGTAATCGAAAGTATGGGCGTTCCTATCAATCTAACCTAATCTATACCATCTTCTTCTAGGCCCAAGTGGAAGGGCAAATGAAAAGAAGAAGAAAGACAATAGGACTAGGCTAGCATAAAACATAGGGATCCAAATGGTTAAAGGCAATAAGGAAGTGTAAGTTGAAGGCGAAGGAAATTGTTTCTTTTGCGGCCAATTAAAACACTCAAAGACGAATTGTCTAACCAACGGCATGGCATAGGAAAATATATATTTAACCATTAAGCCATGTTATGTGGTTGTATCTATTAATTCTTGATGGATAGATTCTGTAGCCACTAAACATGTTTGCAATTCATTGCAAGGATTTCAAGAATCCAGAAGCTTCGATGATATGGATATATATTTGTCTTTTGACTTGATGCCAAGGTTGTAGCTAAGTCAGCGGGAGTATTACATCTGAAAGTAGAGAGTATGGAGATATTAGTATTAGAGAACTATCTTTATACATAGATGTAAGATGCAATCTCATTCTTGTTTCATTTTTGATTTATAAAAATTGTGCTGTTACTTTTGGTAAAACTGCTTTTATAAAATTGAAGAGATGTGCGATTACTTCTGGTGCATTGAAAAATGATTAATATACTATAACCACAAGCTCTTAATATTTGCAGGATGTAAAAACTAATGTTATATCTTTTAGATTGAATGTTAAGAGAAAATTTGTTATTCTTGACTCATTGTATTTTTAGTGTCTATTATTAGGTTGTAATTAGTTTAAATGAGATTCAAAGATTGGTCAAAGAATTTTTATTACCTAGTAAGACAAGGGAGCCTAAATTAACATGTGAATCTTGTTTTAAAGGATAGATAACCCTAAGGGCTTTAATTAGCCAAATGAAAAAGATATAAAGAACAATTAGAGTCGGTACACACTGACATGTGTGGTCTTATGAACATCCAAGCAAGACTACTCAAGTTTTGGATACATTTACCTGATGCGACACAAGTCTTAAACTTTTGGTGTATTCTGAGAGTGTCAAGACTAAGGTGGAACACAAATTAGGTAAACTTATCAAAACACTTCAATCTAATCATGGATATGAGTATTTCTTGGGATAGTGCAAAGACTATATGGTCAATGAGGGTGTTGTCTACCAGTTTTCTGCAATTGACGCTCAATGAATTGATATGTTAAATAGGAATAACAGAATTCTGCTTAATATGGTTAGATCTATGATCAGTTATGTTACATTATCTCTTCCATTTTAGAGTTTAGCGTTGACGATATTGATGCACATTATGAACTACATTTCATCGTAGCCTGTCTCGATGATACATTTTGAGCTGTGTTTTTAACTAAATCTTAATTTGAATCACATGCACATTTGGGGTAGTCTTGCACATGTGCGCTTAATATGAATAAGTAAGTTGGAAGCAGATCATAGGCATGCGTGATTTGATGGCTACTCTAAAGGCACTAGGATGGATTATTTTATGATATCAATGATAAAAGTTGATTGTTTACACTCACTGTTTATCTATAGGAGGATCATATTATGAATAACATACCTAGTAGCATAATGTTAAAGAATATAGTATGAGTACCAGATGTACACATATGAAAACACTTATTATAGAAATTAAGAATTATATATGAATTCCCTATTGATGCGTCGGCATCATCTAGTACACAGATTCCTGCATCGATACATTGATGTAGTGGGAGAATTATCATCCAATCCGACAGAATCATGTTTTTAGGTGAGACCTTTACGGATATCTTTGTTAAACATGAGTTGGACCCAGTAAGCTACATGGAAGCATGAATCGAGGTGGATATAGATCGTTTTGGCAAGTTGCTATGAAATCAGAGTTGGAATCTATGTATTCTAATAAAATATGGGATCTTGTAGAACTTTCTAGTAGGATGCCACCTATGGAAGGCTAGTTAATCTACAAAAGGATACCAGAAGATTTCTTAGTGAATGAACCATGTGTGTACAGGGTAATATCATTGTTTTTCTAATTCTATATATTGATGACATCCTGCTCATTTATAATGACGTGGAAGCTTCGTCATCATTAAAAAGGTAGTTGTTCAATTACTTTGAAATGGAGGATCTTCAAGATATAAGCTATATTCCTAGGATTAAGCTTTTACAAGATCGGGTTGAAAGGAAAATAGGCTTATCTTAACAATCCTACATTGATAAAGTTTTGACCAGGTTTGGTATGCGAAACTCTAAGAATGAGTTCTTACTTTATTGACATGGATTGCTCTCTCTAGTAAGTAGTTTTCCAAGACTAGTAGAGGAGATTGAGGAAATGAGACTGGAATAATATGTTTCGGCATTGTGATTCTCATATATGCCATGGTCTATACCAAGCAAGACATCCACTACACAGTAGGGATAGTCAGTAGATATCAGTCCAATCCCAGACTTGATAACTGGTTTGTTGTAAAAAATATCATAAAGTACCTTAGGAGAACCAATGATCTCATGCTCATTTATGGATGTGATGATATGGTCCCAGTCGGGTATGCTAGTTCTGATTTTTAATTAGATGTAGATACTATAAGGTTCATGACTTAGTGTATGTTCACTCAATGGAAGGAAAATCAGTTGGTATATTGTTAAACAGATTTCAATTGCTGACTCAAACCTGAAGGTGAAGTACATTACAGCCTTAAAGGCAGCAAAGGAAGCCTTTTGGTTTGATTTTGCTGATTTAGAGGTTGTGGAGCATACTAGCTTGTCTATCGAGCTATATTGCGACAATAGTGCAAAAGTAGTCCAAACCAATGACCCAAGGCTCCATAGAGGAACAAGGTACATTGAGAGGAAGTATCATGTCTTACATGATAGTCTGGCAAGAAAATGTACTAGTAGCTAGAACATTGCATTGGAATATAACTTTGTTGATCCATTAATAAAGGTGTCATCGATCAATAGTTTTGATCGTTACTTGGATAACATTGGAGTTAAATGCAATTCGAATTGGCTATGAGGGCAAGTGGAAACTGTTAGGATTTGTATGCCTTGGCATAGCGAATTCCTATTTGGATTAAAGTGACACATGTTCTTGACATATCTGAAATATTTATGATTTATACAATTGATGAATTCAATGTATTATGTTTCGATTCATTATGGAATTGATAGTATCCACTTGATTACAAGAGATGTTTATATATGTATATGATGACAATCAATACATGAATTTAAATAGTAATCATAAATAGTTCATAGTCGGTAATTCTGGATAGACTCATTATTAACTAAGACTTGAACTTGATCCGCGTTAGGTTGAGATATATTGCGAGAGCCGTCACATGCAATTGCTCCCTATCATTGTCATGACATTTGACTCTTAAGCATGAGAGAAGTATAGACTCTTTTATTAATTAGTAATTACTTTAATTTGTTCGGCGAATTCTTCGAAATCCTTAGACCGACACTTTGGGTAATTATGTAATTAATTGTTAGATGGTTATATTTTCAATATTTGCATAATTGTTACTTGTATTTATTTTGTATTGATTATGGTTGATCACAAACTAAATTCGAAAGCCTTCGTGTGTTTTTAGACAAAAATTATTTATTATATATTTATTTATTTAAATTATTATTTTTATCAAACAAATATTTTATTGTGATCAAGTTGGAAATAATCAAAAGTACCAAAACAAATATATTAATTAAGTAGTCGGATTGATGGATTTATTTATCTGATAACTAATTATACATAGAGGGGTCAAAGTGTAACATTAACTTAGAGGTTATTTATTATTTAATTAGAGTTCAATTAATTTCTTTTAGTGGAGTAGAAATTAATTTATAAATTAATTGAATTGGGTTCATGGATCGTACCAATTATTAATTCATTGTAGCCAATAAAATAATAAGCTCAAATGATTCTCATTCATAGCCTAACTTGATATTGGAGGCCCATTAGATATGAGATATCACGTTAATTTTAGAGATTGAGAAAAATATATTGTCTTTTATTATTATTTTTATTTTGCTTATATATACATAGGTCCATGTATATTTTAGGTTACACCTTTGTGTAATAATTTTTAGAAGACAAGAAATGTTTTTTTCTCTCTAGAATTTTAGGGTTAGTGTTCTCATTTGATGGAGGCTCCCACAAGCTAAGCTTTCCAAGGTCATTCATAGAGGCTTATGGGTGATTCCTACAGGCAAGATCATTACCAAGAAGATGAAGATCCAAGACTGAGGCATCTAGTAAAGGAATCTACAATGAGTGAGAATGTTTACTTTAGGGGAGAGATATAAGGTTTACTCAAATCTTGATGTAAGTTTTTTATCCCTAAATTAAATGGATCATCATATTCTTAATGCATAAAACTTGTCTCTACACATTAATGAAGATCTTTATTTAAAAACCCTCATAAAATTTTTAAAACTTTCGTTTCTCCAACAGAAAATGTATAGGATTGGAGTGCTGCAAGTTGAGAAGTCCACCCGCGGAGCTTTGCCAATACCCTCTTCCACCATCATAGTCAAGGAAGATTTAGTTGTGGGTTTTGAAGATGAAACGACAACGATAATGGAGCTGCTTATAGAAGAGCATGAAATTCAGCTAAAAGTTATACCAATCATCAGGATGCCTGGACTCGGTAAGACCACTCTAGCCATAAAAGTGTACAACAATCCTTTCATTGAATACCAGTCCCATTTTCGTGCATGGACCCAAGTATCTCAAGTATACCGGAGAAGAGATTTGTTACTTAGCATTTTGAGCTCTGCAGATATCCAGCTTAAAGGTGAAACCGAAAAACATGAGCGATGAAGAGTTGGGTGAAGGATTGTACAAAAGCTTGAAAGGTAAGAAGTATCTCATCATCATGGATGATATATGGGAGTTAAGGGCCTGGAATGATATCAAAAGACACTTTCCAAATGACAACATTGGAAGCAGAATTATATTCACTAGTCGGCATGTAGATGTAGCTTTAGCTTTGTCCGCTAAACCTCACCATTTGCGGTTTCTAAATTTTGATGAAAGTTGGGATCTATTACGGCAGAAGGTATTTGAAGGAGGTAGTTGCCCACAACTCTTAATTGAAATTGGAAAGAAAATTGCCAAAAAATGTCAAGGACTACCACTTGCAATTGTTGTAATAGCTGGACTGCTGGCAAAGAAAGATAAGACACAAGACTGGTGGAGGCATGTTGCTGAAAGTGTAAGTTCATATATCGTTACCGAACGAGAGCAATTCATGGGCACACTAGCACTAAGTTACAACCACTTGCCTTATCACTTGAAGCCATGTTTCCTATATTTTGGAGCATTCCCTGAAAAATATGAAATTCCAGTTTGGAAATTGATCTGGTTGTGGATTGCCGAAGGATTTATAATGCGAAATCAGCAGAAAAGCTTAGAAGATGTTGCGGAGGATTACATGATGGATCTAATTGATAGAAGTCTAGTGGTGGTTTCCAAGAAAAGGGCTAATGGTCGAATTAAAGCATGTCGTGTCCATGATCTCTTGCGTGATTTATGTTTGAGAAAAGCTCAAGAAGAGAATTTTATGCAAATTCCGAGGTATGGATCAACATATTCTTCTTTTTCAAGTCCTAAGGCAAAAAAGCAGCGTCGCATTTGCATCGGTACTCAAATTGAATTTTCTACCATTCTCACACTCCTTAATGGATGTGGTTATTTAAAGCAAGTTGGTCCAGAGGTCTGCTCTTTCTCTTCAACTGCAGATTTATCTCTAGCTTCTCTTTTATCGTTTTGTAGAGCCTTCAAACTTCTTAGGGTGGTAAATATATCAACCGTCAAATTTTCCTCATTCCCTGAAGAACTACAACTATTAGTTCACTTGAGGTATCTATCATTTCACGTTGACAAAGAACACTTTCGACCATCAATGTCAAACCTCTGGAAGCTAGAAACCTTAATTGTTGGAGGAGGACCGATAGGTTGTGTATCTTTCTCGCATGATATCTGGAAGATGGTGAAATTGAGGCATCTGTATACAAAGCGGCTTATTCAAATCACTCATGTGCCCGTTGATGACTATCCCTTCGTGTTGGATGACCTTCAGAGCGTAGGAAATTTAGGTCTTCGTGGTGTAGATGAGCGAGTCTTACGACGGATTCCCAAGCTTAGAAACTAAAATGTTCTTTTGTGGAGCCGATGGATGGAAATGATGTTTTTTCCTAAATTGAACTTTCTTAGTCACCTTGAAACTCTTGAGATAACTTATACTGGATCAAGAGGATGTCTCAAAAGATTTCCCTATTTGGATGAGTTTCCCCAAGTCTGAGAAGCTTAACTTTATCATCATTTTGCCTGTCTTGGGAGGAAATGTCGACCCTTGGAAGGTTGCCCAACCTTGAGGTTCTTAAATTATTACATAAGGCCTTTGAGGGACCAAGGTGGGACACTTGTGATGGGATGTTTCGCAAACTCAAATTCTTGAGGTTTCAATCCCTGGATATCAAGCAATGGAAGGCTTTTAGCAGTCACTTTCCCGCCCTTCAGACATTGGCGCTAGATGGCTGTGAACATCTCAAGGAGATCTCATCTGGTTTTTGTGATTGTGTTTACATTGGAGATGATTCGGCTCTGGTTTTGTAGCAGCTCTGCAGCACACTCCGCCTTGCAAATTCAAGAATGGCAACGAAGCATGGGATATGATGAACTTAAGATCCATATTGACCCTTGGAATAATTAGGACAACGGACGAGGATAATGCACGCTGCTGATCACGAGGATGACCAGAATGATCACATAGCATTCAGTCACTTAAATTTTGTTATTCTCCCACTCCCTCTCTTCTACTGTGTTTTCATTGTAATTACATTTCATTTTTCTACGTTGTTTCGATTGTTAATTCATTTCATTTTTACTGACTGTAGTGAACTGCAAGAGCCTACCATGCCTCGTGAAATAGAGGTTCTTAGTTTTGACTACAAAATTTGCCAGCACAATTAAGTTTCTAACTGTAGGTGCAAAAATTCACTTAACAAAAGAAGTTAAACGAATTAATACAACTCACTCAAGATAAAATAATAACTAGCAAGAATTATTTAGAGAAAAATGTGTATTGTTCAATGATCTTTATTGGAGTTCTATGCCTCCACGTATATACAAAAAGATGTGAAATTATGGTAGGATTCGCCTTACTTGCCCTCCAATTGATTCCAAATATCCTTCTTTACATACAGACTTCTTTCCTTCTATAATTTTTTCTATGCCAAACTTTTCTTCTGTTTAACTTTCCTTTCATGTAGGATCCTTCGTTTAGTAGGACTTATTCAATCTATAATACATTTGGGCTGAATACATCTTGGGCCGGCTGAGCTTGCTTGACGGGCTGAAAGCTTAACATTAGCGATCTTGGGCTAATGGAGACTTAATTTGGGCTTGACCAGAGCCGAGCTTCTGCAATCCATCTAAAGGTTAGAAGTATAATTTTTTATTATGGTGACATGGACAATTCTTATTTGAGGGGGACTTTTCCCTCTGCACTAACGTTTTGTGATTGAAAATTCTGAGACATTTTGTGGGAGGTTGGGATGATTGGAGGAGGTTTCACAGTAGAATATGGGACAAATAAGGAAATGTGCTGATGTTGAAGAGCTTGGCAGCAAGTGTACGTTGGCAGCTTTGGAAAGCCAGAAATGTTATCATTAAATCCCTTTTGATTAATGATAATTTGTTCTCTTTACCAGCAAAATTAAAATAAAATAATGACGTGATTAAACAAATCATATGGTGATCATGGTTGATCGAGACTTGAGGATGGAGAGTGTAACGATCCAAATCTGGTGGTGCTATGAGTCCCTGCTCAAACCCAAAGACACCAAGGATAAAATGATCATTTACCGTCGCATCATTTATTAATAAACTTGAATAACAAGAATAACATGCTTAGTTCATAATATTAAATTGAAGTCACAAGTCAAGGGTACAATCCTTCAAAATATACAAGTAATGGCCACTATGAGAAATTGCATTGCATGACAGATCGATCATACGGTGTCTTGCTCGCACCCGCATGCGTGCAGGGGTTGCGCACGCGCACGGGCGGTTTGACATGCTACGATTGATCGCCTAAATCCCAATTTTCTGTTGAACAGTGAAAATGGACTTCGAAATGAATTACAACATGGTATGATCGATCGCAGGAGGTCTACGATTAATCGTAGGAACCCAAAAATGTGATCTTTGCCTCTTTTGAATTGCAGTCCAATCAGTCTCGATTCTCCATAATTCTTTCCCTTCCTTTAATACTCTAAGAAAGCCAGGGTTTACTGGACCTGTTATCTGTCACAATTGCTTTGGGGATGTGGATTCCAGAGGTCATCTCTTTTGGTGCTGTTCCTATGCAAGAGCAGTTTGGAAGTGGTCTAATTGCCATTGGTCTGACCATTTTAGAAAATGCACTTATTTTTGGACCTTTGTTATTATAGAGTTTTTGTGAGCTTCCAGTTCCAATCGGCCCTATATATATATTTTTTTTCGTTTACTTTGTTTAATCAGCTTCTTATTTTCTTTTGTGGATTGGGGTATGCCCTAACCTACAGTTTTCCTATTTCTCTTATTTTTGTTGATCCTTTAGGGATGGATCAACGTCTCCTCTGTACCACATTGCTCCATTTTGTATGAATAAAATTTCTCACAAAAATAAATAAATAAATAAAAAAATAAAATAAAATTTGGGTAGGAGATCTAGTTTTACATCCAGAGACCTATCAAGAAAACCCACAAGAAGAAGTTCCAAAATTTAGGTTGAAAAGTTACCATCTTTACTAGTCAAATTCTTCTTTGAGCTTTATTCAACTCATAGAGGCCATATTCTATAACTAATCTACATCACCAGATAATTCTTCTTTTAGCATTTGCTGTGATTCAATGGGGTTCACTGATGTCATGTTATAAATTAGCATACGCTTTAACTTTTATTTATTTATTTTTTAATAGAATGAAAGAGAGCACTCAGCTTATTAGGTGAAATTTCTACACTGCATAATAATATATAGTATTCCCTTTTTTTAAGAAAAGATAAAAACTCTAGTCCTCTTACTATTAAAATAATAATTCATAATGTGCTGTAGCATTGTTTCATGGCAAAGCTGGATTATAGGAAAGAAAACAGTAACTATTTGAAATCCACCTTGTGGTATGGCATATATTATTAATCATTGATTATTTGGTGATCTAGTACAATTAAAATTCAAGCTCAAATTATGATGAATTCGCTTTTCTTAATCGGAGAGTTTTGATTGAATTGGATCACACGATCCAGTATCCGGTCGAGCCTATTTCTTGGCACAACATTCTCTCTTTCTGACCAGCTTGAAGAGTTCAAACGCTTCATTCGAATTCGTTTACTTTGACTCTCCTATAATGCTAATTTATAATATGACATCAGTGAACCCCATTGAATCACAGCAAATGCTAATTTATAACATTAACAAACACAAGCAGTTGTCACAATTGACCAAAACATATTAACATTAGAAAATAGACATGTTCAATACCTAAACACTGTGAATCAACAATTACAACAACAAACATCCATTAATATTCTTCTTAGTAAATTTGAAGTCAAGACTCTTAGCATCATAAAATTAATATGAAAAAAATCAGACAATTTCCAGCATAAGAACAGCAGTGTTGTTAGGAAGTACCAAGGAATTAAGGCCTTCTGTTAATGGTTGGGTTGCCTTATGATCCTCTGAAGAACCACAGTCCTTGCCTTGACAATATCCCGGCTGCACGTATCAGCTTGCATCCCCAAATCCTCAACATACTTCATAAACACTCCGAGCTGCTTCTTCATCTCCTCTATCCCAATCTTCACAGACTCTTCACTAATAGCGAATTCAGCATTCCGCAACAGCGATTCGATGTCAATCTCCAACCGGTCTATCAGTACTCGGATGTTGTCCAAGTCCTTGATAGCAACACGAGTGCCCACTTGCATGGTGCTAATGATCTCCTTCTGTCCATTCACAGCATCTTCATACTTCTTGAAAAGAGAATCAATCCACTTACCCATTGAGCCCAACGGGACAGAAGCAAGTTGTTAAAATCGGGATTCTACGTAGAATCGTTTTGGGCTCCGTAGAATCGGATCGTGAATCGTAAGATTCTACCAAATTGTGAAAAAATAATTGAAACTAACTTCTTAAACAATAAGATATGTAAAATATAACCAAAATAAGGCCAAAACACATCATATTACATATTCATGAGTTCACAAATCTCAAATCCTAATAATATTTTAAAGTCCGAATATAAATAAAAGTAAAAGAAAATATTCCAAAGTCTGAATATAAATAAAAGAGGATGTAACACAAAATAACATAATCCACAAATCTCAAATCCTAACTCATCCCTCTCCAAAGTTAGAAACTAAAATTACATATCCATAAAGTCATCATTGAACCCTTCACCATCTTCCTCATTAGCTTCATCAATAGGATTTAATGGCTGCAAATCTTCATTATCATCAATTGCATAAATTTCCTCAACTACAAAGCATAAAGAAAGAACAAAAATTATATATTGTATTTAATCAAGTCAAATTTAGAAATTATATATTCATCTACCGGTAATCTTAAAGTCTTAGCAATTATATGTTCATCTATCGGTAATCTTAAAGTCTTAGCAATTATACAATTATATATTGTATTTAATCAAGTCAAATTTAGAAGAAAAACCAAATTTAAGAAATCTTAAATCAAAACAAGAAATTTGATTCCATAAGTCAAAGACTTTGATAACTCTACAATTACAAACCAAGAGAAGAAGCTACACCAAATTTTGAATAATCAAGAAAAATATTCAGCTAGAGCTCAATTAGCCATAGTAAAAGCTCTAAAAAATAGTGATAAAAATTTAAGTGGCCAGGTAAACTTAAAACAAAAACTACAGAAATCGAAAAGGATAGTCAAAACTTTAAAAATTGATCCAAATCAACTCATTAGCCAAAACTATTTTTCCTATTCAAAGTAAAATTAGACCATTAATGCAAAAGATTATCAGAACATTATGAATAATTTCTAAGAACAAGTAGATAAAAGGTTACAATCTTAGAATAATCAAGCTACGAAGGGTTATATAGAGATTAGAGAAAACTCTTGAAATTTCTTGATCAAGGAAGAAAATAAATATAGAACATAGAAACATCCCTGGCAGAACCTGTAAGCTGCTGTATGAATCCGATTTGCTCGCTATGAGCCTCTGCACTGGCGCCTCCTCTCAATCCTCACTCCTCTCAGAGTAGGATTCCCGTTTCTAATTCTATAATAGAGTAGGTTTTTGCATTTTATAATTTATAGAATAAATAATTAAATATATAATTTGATAAATAACTTTCTATACAATATTTGGGCCAGGCTTTGGCCCAAACAACTAAAAGAATAAAGGCCCAAAGACCAAATAGTATAAAGGCTCGCCCAAACACCCATTTTGGTGGAATCGATAGAATCGTGTAGAATCGTACGATTCTGCCAACGATTCTACCGATTTTACCAATTGGGCGATTCTGTTACGATTTGAGTTGATTTTCAGATTTGAGTTGTAGAATCGTGCGATTCTACGACTCAGAATCGCGATTTTGATAACTATAGACAGAAGTGGCTGTAGTGATGACAACTGCAACAGCGGAGCAGCCATAGCCGCTGCCACGACAGAATAAATTAGCGCGGCAGCCAACGTGGCTGCAAATATTACACTAGAGACCTTCCTCCAAGCACGGACATGTTTAAGCTTCTTATCGAGCCTGTTCCTCTGAAGCTGCAACTTTTCAAGCATCAGCATTTGCTGCCTATACACAGATTGATAAGCTTCGAAGAACTCTTCAGTGAAAGGGTCACCGGCAGCCTTAAATTTCTTCAATTCCTCCAGAGTCCTCGTGTACCTATTCCCTCCTCGGCGAACCCCATCCTCCTCAAAATATTGGAACGCGACAAGAATAAGCAATTGGCTGTTGCGTGCTCGCTTTAGGCAATTCTCTAATGCGGTACAAAAAAATAATCTGAAATTGATTCAGATTCCTTCATATGCAATGCTTTAAATTCACCCCGTAACATTTGGAGGCGAACCTTCTTCACTTTACTAACTCCTTGGAAGGAATTTTGAAGAATCTCTCACAGTTGCTTTGCATTTTCTGCACGAACAATTCTTTGTAGTATTCCATCATCCAAACATTGATGGATGGTCATCACCGCCTTTTGGTCCTTCTTTCTCATGGTTTGTAAAACATCTTTTTTGGCTTTAGACAAAGTTGCCTTATTTTTTGGCTCATCATAACCTTTGGAAACAACTTCCCACATATCTTGTGCTCCCAAAATTGCCTTCATACGGATACACCAATTTCCATAGTTATCTTTGGTGAACGAGACATTTGAATGGAACCGAATTGTTTGCCATTTCTTCTCTCTCTCACAAATTTGCACTGATACCACTTTGTTGGAAATAGTGGCCTAGTTACACACATAACACTATACTATTTGGAAGTGAATAAAAATGAAGGAAAACACTTTTTATTTTACTCGATTGAAAATGAGTAAAATACATTGGTTTATATATGCTTAAAACATAAATGTAAATGAAAATTAACACTCACTAACATACCATTTAGTAGGCAAAACTCCCACTAACCCACTAACATGACCTTTACTAGTTGTAACTCTCATGCCTCCCACTAACTCCAATAAAAACTCACATAAATATAAAATTATACCAAATAAAAAAGCACCCATGACCTTCAAAGACATTTTAAAAGTATAATGAAGTTTAATTTCTAACATTAAGAGGATGTCTCGGAAGATTTCCCCATTTGGATGAGTTTCCCCCAAGTCCGAGAAGCTTAACTTTATCATCATTCTGCCTGTCTCGGGAGGAAATGTCGACCCTTGGAAGGTTGCCCAACCTCGAGGTTCTTAAATTATTACACGAGGCCTTTGAGGGACCAAGGTGGGACACGTGTGATGGAATGTTTCGCAAACTCAAATTCTTGAGGTTTCAATATCTGGATATCAAGCAATGGAATGCTTCTAGTAGTCACTTTCCCGTCCTTCAGACATTGGCGCTAGGTGGCTGTGAACATCTCAAGGAGATCCCATCTGGTTTACGTGATTGTTTTACATTGGAGATGATTCGGCTCTGGCTTTGTAGCAGCTCTGCAGCACACTCGGCCTTGCAAATTCAAGAATGGCAACGAAGCATGGGATATGATGAACTTAAGATCAATATTTACCCTAGGAATAATGAGGACAACGACGAGGATGACAAGGATAATGCACGTTGCTGATCACGAGGATGACGAGAATGATCACATAGCATTCAGTCACTTAAATATTGTTATTCTCCCACTCCCTCTCTTCTACCGTGTTTTAATTGTACTTACATTTCATTTTTCTACATTGTTTCGATTGTTAATTCATTTCATTTTTACTGACTGTAGTGAACTGCAAGAGTCTACCATGGCTCATGAAACACAGGTTCTTTGACTACAAAATTTGCCAACACACAATTAAGTTTCTAATTTTTTGTGATTGATAATTGTGAGACATTTTGTGGAGCTTGGGATGACTGGAGGAGGTTTCACAGTAGAATATGGGATAAATAAGGAAATGTGCTGATGTTGAAGAGCTTGGCAGCAAGTGTACGTTGGCAGCTTTGGAAAGCCAGAAATGTTATCATTAAATCCCTTTTGATTAATGATAATTTGTTCTGTTTGCCAGGAAACTTAAAATAAAATAATACATGATTAAACAAATTATTTGGTGATCATGGTTGATTGAGACTTGAGGATGGAGAGTGTAACTATCCAAATTCGGTGGTGTTACGGGTCTCTACCTGAGGGCATACTAAGAATAAAAAGGTCATTTACCGTCACATCATTTGTTAATAAACTCACTACGGTCAAAAGCATTCATAATAACATGAATAACATGCTTAAATTGAAGTCACAAATCAAGGGTACAATCCTCCAAAATATACATGTAATGGCTACTCCAAAATATACCTGTAATGGCCACTACGATCAATTGCAGGACACCGTAGGATCGATCGCACCATGTCTTGCTCGCACCCACGCGGGGGGCTTGACATACTACGATTGATTGCCCAAATCCCAACTTCCTGTTGAACAGTGAAAATAGACTTCGAACTGAACAAAATGGTACGATCGATCGCAGGGATCGATTGTAGGAACCCAGAAATGTGATCTTCGCCTCTTTTGAATTGCAAGTCCAATCAGTCTTGATTCTCCATAATTCTTTCCCTTCCTTACTGGACCTGCTATCTGTCACAATTGTTTTGGGGATGTGGATTCCAGAGGCCATCTCTTTTGGTGCTGTTCCTACGCAAGAGCAGTTTGGAAGTGGTCTGATTGCCATTGGTCTGACCATTTTAGAAATTGCACTTATTTTTTTGACCTTTGTTATTATAGAGTTGTTTGTGAGCTTCCAGTTCCAAGCAGCCCTATTTTATTTTATTTTTTTTCTTTTTCTTTGTTTAATCAGCTTCTTTTTTTCCTTTGTGGATTAGGGTACGCCCTGACCTACAATTTTCCTATTTCTCTTGTTTTTGTTGATCCTTTAGGGATCAACGTCTCCTACGTACTATATTGCTCCATTTTGTATGAATAAAATTTCCGACATTCAGGAAGAAAAGAAAAAAAAAAATTTTGGATAGGAGATCCAGTTTTGCATAACAAATTAACATTAGAAACTAGACTTGTTCAACACCTAAACGTTGTGAATCAACAATTACAACAACAAACATCCATTAATATTCTTCTAAGTAAATTTGAAGTCAAGACTCTTAGCATCATAAAATTAATATGAAAAAAAATGGGACAATTTCCAGCATAAGAACAGCAGTGTTGTTAGGAAGTACCAAGGAATTAAGGGCCTTCTGTTAATGGTTGGGTTGTCTTATGATCCTCTGAAGAACCACGGTCCTTGCCTTGACAATATCCGGGCTGCACGTATCAGCTTGCACCCCCAAATCCTCAACATACTTCATAAACACTCCGAGCTTCTTCTTCATTTCCTCTATCCCAATCTTCACAGACTCTTCACTAATAGCGAATTCAGCATTCTGCAACAACGATTCGATCTCAATCTCCAACCGGTCTATCAGTACTCGAATGTTGTCCAAGTCCTTTATAGCAACACGAGTGCCCACTCGCATAGAGCTAATGATCTCCTTCTGTCCTTTCACAACATCTTCATACTTCTTGAAAAGAGAATCAATCCACTTGCCCATTGTGATACCCCCGGATTTCCGAATGTGAATTGACCAGGCCAACGCCCAAATACCCGAGAATATAAAAAATAAATCGGCAATAAACGAACACAGATTACAAAAGAATAAATAACAATGCTGAAAAGAAACTAAAAGGATAACCCAAACTCTTCAGAATAAATTCTTATTAAAATTAAAACATTATGATATAATCACTCCTCTATTAATACACTCGGGAATCCATACTGTTCGGACACCAAGAAAATCCAAACTAAACAAATGACAGCAATAACTGTTTATATCAGGAAACTCCTATGTAGATAAACCGGAAGAGTGAAGTAGATGCTCCTTGCTCAGCACGAACAATCCCTACTCCTGACACATACCTGAAAAATAAGGGTGAGTCAGACCCACAAACAAGTTTTACTCTACTACAGTCCAAGCAGAGATTCGATACACGTATACGTCCTAGTCAATCCAACAATAACTAATAGTCCGTATATATATATACACACACACACACTAAAGAAACCTTACTAGACTATAGGGTTGTCTCAACTTGAATAGTAGGCATCATGCAAAACGTACATATAATGGGCATAAGTACCTAGACCTACCAGGGCATACAACTACACTATATCCAGCTACACATCCCTAGCACTATACGTGCCTTAACCACTGATCCTGAGACTCAAGCTTATATCATGGCACCATAATTATATATATAATCAAGTAAAAATTAATCATCTACAAGTAATCCTCTATAAGTCATTCAACTTGTTCAGCTGACTTGACTTCAATATAAGTAGGACTTAACATTTTAGTTAATCCATTCCCTTATACAAAATAGGTAGGACTTAACTGATAAGTTAATCCGTCCCTAAAGTGCCACCATCCCATACTGGTGCACTACATCCACATAATCTAATAATCAATGTAACAAATATAATAATACATCGATTAATCCAACAATCAACATAATATTAGAATATCATGCTATCATAAAATAGGAACAACTTATACTTTATTTAAGCTTCCTACATCCTGTATCCTACACAAACTGAATCTTAAACGGACTGACATTTTATTTTACAATCACGTAAGCATTTTCCTTATCCCATTCATCCTACACATTTAATCTCAATTGCTAGAACAATTTAAAAGATTAAATCCATTTATTTGTTTAAAACATCCAAATAGCAAATATCATTATGATCGAGTCTATTTGAATTTGTTTAAACCCAAACCTAAGTCCCTATTTAATGTTCAGGATTGTTCATAATCAACAAGAGGTAACACTACGCTGTTTACGAAACTTCTCCAGATAATGCTCGAGCTTTTGTCCTAAATGCTCGAGCACCTTGTCTAAGGCTCGAGCATCCTACTTCAGGCTCAAGCTTTTTATCCCAGTTGCTCGAGCTTTCCTTCTCAGGCTCGAGCTTTACATCCAATTATTCGAGCTTTACATCCAATTGTTCGAGCTTTACATCCAATTGCTCGAGCTTTTCCTTACAAGCTTGAACTTTTCATCCAAGGCTCGAGCACTGTAACAGTGGACTGAGCACTGTTACGCGAATTAACCCAAAATTCAACCACGAACTTATTCTTTATTTGTTTCAGGATTCCTAGGTATGTTTGTACGTTCCATCAATCCACATATATGAAAAATACATAATTTAAATATGTAAAAATTCATACAAGAAATCAAATCAAAATCATGAATTTATTAAGTCATAACACAAGAATATATATGAACTAGTTTCATAAAACTTATGTTCTAATCTAATTAAACATGTATAATTATTTAATTTTATTTGTTTAATAAATCCTGGAATTTCCTAGGCATGTACAGAAACATGAATCAAAGGGAAAGAGATAGAAGAAGAACTTGCTTTAAACTTTCGGATCGAAAGTTAAATTTCTTCTTCCTTGATCTTCTTTTTGCAGGGTTTTCTCCTCCTTCCTTCCTTTTTCTCCTCCTCTCTCTAACTCTCTTTCTCTAGAATATATTACGTAAATATTTCTAACCCTTTTTATAACCTATAGCTATATATTTATAGGCTAGATAAACTAACCTAATCCTTTTTCCAATCCAAATCTACTTAAAAAAAAAAAATTAAAATTAAAGTATTGAAAAGGTAACTTAAAATATGTTATGTATATAATTTATGTATATCCTTATTATTTAAAAATAAAACATATACATCAGATTAAATATTAATACCCAAGTTACCATAAAAGTAATTAATACATTACTTTCCTTTTATATATGTATATACAGATATATCTACATATATACATTTATAATTATTCATACCCATCAAACCTCCCATTCAAGTAGTCCATGGGACCTAATTGGTTGGCCCATTACTACTACCTATAACTATAATATAAAATAAAATAAAATAAAATAAAACATTATAAAAGAAAATAAATAACATAAAACAAAATAAAATAAAACATTTAATTTACAATTAATTACAACACATCAAAACACCATTTAAGCACAAAATCTAATTAAATAAATAACATATAGGCAAATACAATTATCACATAGACACATAATCCAAATAATTAAGTAACACTTAATTCAATTAAACACATAAGCAACTAGTCAAATAATCAATTAAATAATTAAAAATACAATTAGAACCAATAAATAAATACCGAGACTATCCTTTTAAAATTAGGGGTATTACACCCATTGAGCCCAACGGGACAGAAGTGGCTGCAGTGAGGGCAGCTGCAACAGGCGGAGTAGCCATAGCCTCTGCCATGACAGAACAAATCAGCACAGCAGCCAATGTGGCTGCAAATATTACACTAGAGACCTTCCTCCAAGCACGGACATGTTTGAGCTTCTTATCGAGCCTGTTCCTCCAAAGCTGCAACTTCTCAAGCATCTGCATTTGCTGCCTATACACAGATTGATAAGCTTCGAAGAACTCTTCAGTGAAAGGGTCACCGGCAGCCTTAAATTTCTTCAATTCCTCCAGAGTCCTCGTGTACCTATTCCCTCCTCGGCCAACCCCATCCTCTTCCTCCTCCTCAAAATATTGGAGCGCAACAAGAATAAGCAATAGGCTGTTGCGTGCTCGCTCTAGGCAATTCTCTAATGCAGTACAGAAATCCAGTGTCTGCAAGCTATTCTCAAACTACTCCTGCACCAGCTCAAACAGTTCCTGAGTCTTCCATATGTCCTCCTTGCATTCCAAGGTCACCCTAACCACCTCTTGGTTCATGTCCAGAAGACATTCCGTGACTTGTTTCAGAGAATCGAACGAGACTGCCCTGACTTCAACCCCTGCTGCGAGGGTGTTGATGACATGACTAGTCCGGGCTTGGAGTGTTGTGTCGAAGGACTGCAAATCTGTGTCAAGTCTGCAGGCGTCTTCATAAGAGCTGAGCTTAGTTGTGTATTGTATATTGATGGCCGTCGAAGTTTGTTCAGTGGGATTCTTGCTCGGGTGACTCCCCACGGTTTCAATTCAGATCGAAACAGATCAAGAAAATAAACAAAACCAACTACAACCCGAAACCCTTTCCCTATGCTTGAGCAAGCTGTTTATAATGTTATCTGTGTAAAATATGATTCTTGTAAGCAACAAATCAAGTTTTTGCCCATCAATATCAAACTTGTGGAAGCTAGTAATTGTTGAAGGAGGACCACTAGGTTGTGTATCTTTCTCCCATGATAATATCAATATACATATTGGGACCCAAACGAATAATATCAATATACATATTGGGACCCATCTTGACACCAAGTTTACCCATTCGGTCTTAGATTTTTGACCAGAAATTTGTGTGCACAAATACATATTTTGATAATGAAGTAGATAGGCAGTGATTGGTTAGGCCTTGGACTATTCTACTCCCTTCAATACTTGAAAGCTAGAATAGATTTTGCCCATCAATGTCAAACCTCTGGAAGGAGGACTACTAGGTTGTGTATCTTTCTCGCATGATAATATCAATATACATATTGGGACCCAAACAAATAATACTGAGTATCAATATTCATATTGGGACCCATCTTGACACCAAGTTTACCCATTCGTTTGGAATTGGTATTAAAAAATAAAAAAAGATAAAAATTAGTTCAAACTTTAAACCTTTTTTTTTTTTTTTTTTTTTTTTGAATTTCAGATCCAAATCACCAATTCTTTACTACCAAACATAGCATAAAGGGATTGTAAAACCTTAACTAAATTGTGAGTTTCAATGCTTTGAAATCCACTTTATGGTTTGGCATATATTATTAAATCATAGATTATTTGGTGGTCTAGTACAATCAAAATTCATGTTCGAATTATGATGAATTCGCTTTTCTTAATCGGAGAGTTTTGATTGAATTGGATCACATAATCCACTATCCGGTCGAGCCTATTTCTTGGCACAACATTCTCTCTTTCTGACCAGCTTGAAGGGTTCAAACACTTCATTCCAATACGTTAACTTTGCCTCTCCTATAATGCTAATTTATAACATTAACAAACACAAGCAGTTGTCACAATTGACCAAAACATATTTACATTAGAAAATAGACATGTTCAATACCTAAACACTGTGAATCAACAATTACAACAACAAACATCCATTAATATTCTTCTTAGTAAATTTGAAGTCAAGACTCTTAGCATCATAAAATTAAAATGAAAAAAATCAGACAATTTCCAGCATAAGAACAGCAGTGTTGTTAGGAAGTACCAAGGAATTAAGGCCTTCTGTTAATGGTTGGGTTGTCTTATGATCCTCTGAAGAACCACAGTCCTTGCCTTGACAATATCCCGGCTGCACGTATCAGCTTGCACCCCCAAATCCTCAACATACTTCATAAACACTCCGAGCTTCTTCTTCATCTCCTCTATCCCAATCTTCACAGACTCTTCACTAATAGCGAATTCAGCATTCTGCAACAGCGATTCGATCTCAATCTCCAACCGGTCTATCAGTACTCGGATGTTGTCCAAGTCCTTGATAGCAACATGAGTGCCCACTTGCATAGAGCTAATGATCTCCTTCTGTCCTTTCACAGCATCTTCATACTTCTTGAAAAGAGAATCAATCCACTTACCCATGGAGCCCAACGGGACAGAAGTGGCTGCAGTGAGGGCAGCTGCAACAGGCGGAGCAGCCATAGCCGCTGCCACAACAGAACAAATCAACACAGCAGCCAGCGTGGCTGCAAATATTACACTAGAGACCTTCCTCCAAGCACGGACATGTTTGAGCTTCTTATCGAGCCTGTTCCTCCGAAGCTGCAACTTCTCAAGCATCTGCATTTGCTGCTTATACACAGATTGATAAGCTTCGAAGAATTCTCCAGTGAAAGGGTCACCGGCAGCCTTAAATTTCTTCAATTCCTCCAGAGTCCTCGTGTACCTATTCCCTCCTCGGCCAACCCCATCCTCCTCCTCCTCCTCCTCAAAATATTGGAGTGCAACAAGAATAAGCAATTGGCTGTTGCGTGCTCGCTTTAAGCAATTCTCTAATGCAGTACAGAAATCCAGAGTCTGCAAGCTATTCTCAAAGTACTCCTGCACCAACTCAAACAGTTCCTGAGTCTTCCATATGTCCTCCTTGCATTCCAAGATCACTTTAACCACCTCTTGGTTCATGTCCAGAAGACATTCTGTGACTTGTTTCAGAGAATCGAACGAGACTGCCCTCACTTCAACCCCTGCTGTGAGGGTGTTGAGGACATGACTAGTCCGGGCTTGGAGAGTTGTGTCGAAAGACTGCAAATCTGTGTCGAGCCTGCAGGCGTCTTCATAAGAGCTGAGGTCAGTTGTGTATTGTATATTGATGGCCGTAGAAGGTTGTTCAGTGGGATTCTTGCTCGGGTGACTCCCCATGGTTTCAATTCAGATCGAAAACAGATCAAGAAAATAAACAAAACCAACTACAACTCGAAACCCTTTCCCTATGCTTGAGCAAGCTGTTTATAATGTTACCTGTGTATAATATGATCCTTGTAAGCAACAAATCAAGTTTTTGATTCAATCCCAAAGTAAATGCATATTCTATTCACACATTAAAATTAAAATTTATTGAAAAATGGAAGGCAATCTGACAAACAAAATAATTCCAGCAAATTGATTTAGAATATAAATGAAAATAGAACAACCCACATCAACAAACCAAATGAATTTCAAAGTATGTAAAAGGAATTTATACTATATCTCCAGAAATTTTACCATGGAAAATCTCCTTACTTACTTGATTCAAGCCTTTGAAACTGATCAATTGCAATATACCCAGAAAAAGAAATCAAGATTCACACAAATTTCTTCACCAATCAGCAAAAATAAAAGGGAGTAGTAGAATCTCAATACCAAGAGCTGATGAGAGAGACGATGAAAATTGAAGAAGTCTAAGAAATGTGGTGCCTTTAGATTTGGGAATAGCTTGGAGAAGCAATGTCTTCCAAGTATAAATAGGGACAAAATACATACAGTTGTAACTTGTAACGCGCAAAGATAAGCTTACCAAGTAAAAGCTGAGGAACTGTGAGAGAAAATTCAAGTTAAAAGTCTTGAAAGTGAGAGAGCCGACTAATGAGGAGTGGGAACCGAGGAAGGTAAGGAACTCTTTTGCGAAATGACTAAAATACCCATTTCTATTTATTCATTTATTATTTTTATCTTATTTTTAGGTAATTTCTCAAATAACAGTTAGAGCTGTTTGAGAAGGTTTTTCAACCGCTTAAAAGCAATTTTATTTCCACAAAAAATATGCTTAGACGCCTTCTGATAGGACGGAGCTAAGGGCCTGGTCACCCCGCCCCCTCCCCAATTTTTTTTTTATTTTTTATTTTTCAAATTTCTAAAACTCATATTTAGCCTACTTGTAAAAGTTTAAATCTTGTCAAATAAAAATATAAGTTTATTGTTGGTAGTTTTTACTCTAATATATCATTGTTTTATTTACATTTACATATACACAAATATAATATTTATTACATGAATTCAAGAAAAAATGATATATGAATGTATTTCTTGACAAAATAAAAATATATACATATATATTTAAATAAATTCAAGAAAGAGAAAAAATATTACACTAATTTTTCCTTATATTTAACAGTAATAATAAAAAATCCATTTTCATTAGTCATTTTTGTGAGAAGCAGTAAAAACTAAAATATTATGATTTCAAGATAACAAGAATGTCAATAATAAGAGTATTAATATTTTTAGTTATCATATTCTAAATCTATTCCTTATATAAATTATTAAAGCAATTCTCTATTTTGTTATATTAATTATGTTTTGTAAAATTTTGTTTAGTTAAAATGTTATATTTTTTCTCTTAATATTTCATCAAGGCAAAAATACACATCTTTCTTGAAGTGGAATACTGGAATCCAAGTACTTAAGTTTTTGTTTTTCAAGAATCAAAGTAATCAAGTTTTTGTTTTTCAAAAATTAAGACAATTGTCCAATAAAATTTAATTCTTGAACAATGTTTTGTCTTTACCTATTTTATATATTTTTTTCTTTTTCAAGTCAACTTTCATAACTACTTATTTAGGTTCATTTTTTAGATTGTATTTTCTTCAATATATATACTAATAAAAGTAGTATTATAAAGAAATTTATATTATAATTTTTCCTTATAATACAATTTAATTTTAATTTTTAGTTATATAATATTAGTTCGACTCCAATTTCGTAATGACAGAAGTCACTTATACATTGACTTATCCTCTAAACCAAAATTTTAATCCTACGCCAAAAAAAGAAGGAAAAAAACAAAGGGTAATAAGGAGTCGGAACATCCTCACCGTAACAGTGTAACGCCAAACCTACAAAAGAAGGTGAGGTGAAGTAGTCTGTAGGTAACACAACACCCAAGCTGACACCCTTTTGCCAAATGACTAAAATGTCCATATACATATACATATATACATATTATTTATTTTGTATGAAGTGATTTCTAAAGTACATTATTTAGAACTCATTTAGAATTACTGTTCAATTGCTTAAAAATAATTTTATTTTTAAAAATTATATTTAGATAATTTAGTAATTATTACAAATTTGACTCAATAATAAAGCTAAAATTGTAACTTTTAAATTCGGGTTTGAATAGTTGTTTCATATTTTAGATCATAATTTTTTATTAGATAATTATATACTTTTTATATGTTTTTATTGAAACAATGTCATCCTTTCTTTTATAAAATCTTGCTATTATTATATATATTAACAATCTATTAAAAAAATATTATTATAAAATTAATAATAGAAGTGCTTTAAATAATATTGTTATCAAATAAATTAAAAAGTTCTTTGATTGTGAAAAATATTTTGTACAATGAATTATCAAACACATTTTTTCTAACAATAATTTATTAATTTTATGACATATCTACTAATAAAAACAATTTTTTGTTTTTGTTTTTGTGTTTTTATTCTAACTCTTAATTAGATGCGTGTACATGTGAGGATCAGAATGACATTTCACCCTCTCAAAACCGCATGCGACCAAATTCGCCTGTTGCGGATGACGATCATCGACTTCCCCGACACGTTTCTCTCTCTCTCTCTCTACATATAAAATTATAAATATATATAGATATAGATAGATGTACACGCACATGTATATACTCACTCCGTAGCTTCTTGCCATTTTTTCATTTCTACATTTGTTGCTTGTTGCGAGCAGGTTAGCTTTTCTATCTCCTCTCCAAACTATCTGATGTTCTATTCTTCGATATCTTCGATCCTCTGCTTTTGTGTATCAGTTTGATTTTACATGCTGAACAGCTAATTCCAATTGAACTTCAGGGATTTCAAATTTTAAGTGCTTTATTGTATATAATCTGTGATTTGATGAATCTTGACGGCTCTTGGATTGATCATCTAAATTGAGTTCCTTAAAGTACCTTTTGATATGAGTTTTTTAATTTATTTGTGTATATAATTTGTAAATTGTTGAATCTTGACGGCTTTTGGATTGATCGTCTAAATTGAGTTCCTTAAATTACCTTTTGATATGAATTTTTTGAATTTTTGAATTGTTTAGGGTTTTGAGATCATGTTGAAAGTGGAAAAGTACAGTCCCAGCTGCTACTATCCTTCTTCCTCGAACTGTTCCTGTCTTTATCTTTGCATTTTTTTTTTTTTGTTTTGAAAATCGAATTTATCAAATCCAGACTCCTGTCTTGGAATCACCAAGTTGTTGCTCTCTTGTCAATGAAATCACATTCTTGCAGTTCACCTCCTCTTCGAAGTTAGCCAATACCCTTAACTTTTATATAAACTCTTCCATATGTACTAGCAACGAATCAACTCTTGTAATAAATCAGCTCTCCTAAGCAAATATTCAATCAAGCACAACACAGTTGATCAATGTTCTATGATTTTTCGATGAAGTTCAGCCCTTTAAATTCAAAACACAAAGTTTTATATGAAGGTTTCTCACCAGGCTATTCTCACTTTTTCTTGCATCTCTTATGTTCTTAAATTATCCCGTGACACATTAGAGCATGCATATATATACTTTACAAAAGATTTTGGACTCTTTGGCCAACTTCTAGTTTCATTTAGATTTAAAACGTATGTGCTCCATAAAATTGGGCACTTGTGCATCAGTTCTTACATTTTATACATTGTTTATACTTTGTCAGTCATTCTTGTACTGTTGCATTGGTTATAATTTTAAAACATATTTAAACACCAAAAAAGCCAAAACATTTAACTGAAGTCACTGTGCTGATGGATTGCTTGGTACTTGATACTTGGCGTTAGTTTAAATTTGAAATTTTCATTGGGTTAATTAAAAATTTAAAAATAGTTTACTACCAAGAACTATTTACCCCCCTCTAGGTCTAGATCTTGCACTCTCTATTAGAGCCTAAGGTTTCGGTCCTTGCATCATCAATGGAGTAATTAAAAATATGCATCAAATATATCTAATTATTATCTCTATACTTAGAAAGGGCATCATATTGCATGCCATATGCTTGTCACGTTTTCTTTTCTCTTAACTGACATTCTTTTTTACGTTTATCCGTACCATATTAAGCTCTTTCTTCTACTTTTAAACCTTTCCAACTCTTGCTTCATAAACTAACTTCATTATTGGTCTTTTTTGCATAAAAGTAAGCTGACTTTTTAGCACACTTCTATCATATCTTAATCTTTGTCCAAATCAGTCCCAGAGTTTTACAGTATGACTTATAAGTTTTATACCATGAGATTGATGCCGTTGAGTTGGTTGTCATATGAAAGGTAATGTCTAAATTAAGTACACCCTGTTGTATTAGGGAGTAAAGCTGGGTACAAAGTTGTGATTCGTTTGTACTCCTTATTATTTTTATTTTATACGTAATACTCCTTATTAGCTCATGTGGCTAGATAAGCAGAATGTGAGAAATATGTTGCCCTTCACTTGTGAAATATAACTTGAGCTATTGCGTGGATATACACTATATGAAGCTAACTCCTTTAGTATTATTTTTCTTACATTCTGTTGCAATCACCAATTAGAATGAATGCATTAGTGCTGGATGTTTGGTGATTAACCCTGTTTTACTTTTACTGAAATGAGATTATTGTCTCCTTCTACCGTGTCATGGTGGACCATGATTATCAATTGATTGACAATTGAAGAAAGAAAAAGAGGATCCTTATTGTACTTTGTTGATGGTTTATTATGCCTGAATATCTCCAAGGGCCAAAGCTATGAAATTATATTCCATCTCATAGTCTCTCAAAATGTTCTTGGAAGATTTTGGGATCTTTAAACAAGTTTCAATAGTTTCTTAATTGGAATCGGTCTCTTAAATAAGTTCTCAATACTTCTGTTGATTTATGTATTTTACCTTTGTTATATGTTCTTTATTAAAAAATTCTTAGTTTTGCATGTACTCATTGAAGCTATGGATTTCAAGCGTACAAAGCCGAACAAGACCAGACATCAAATGCCTCGTATTTGTTATCCCTTTTTAGTTTGCCCTGTTCTTTTAATTCTCAATATTCTTAGTCCATAGGACATAAATAGATTTTCCAAATAGTTATCTTAAGGAGATTGATCAATAAAGTCACTTATCAAAACAAAAAAAAAAAAAGAAAAGAAAAAAAATTTGATCAATAGAGTCAGTACTCAGTATATTGTACATGCATCAAAAAAATAATTCTAGCTAGGGTAAAAAGGTCGTCCAGTATGCTTCATTCTAAGGCCACATTTGGTACAGTGGAATGGAATTTAATGAAATGCCCATTCTAGCTCTTCCTTCCCTTTCTTGTGTTTGGCGACTTTAATTAAACTTGGACTGCTCATTCCTCTTTGTGACATAAGGAATGGACGATCCATTGACTAAAAAACCCATGTTAAAAATCAACAAACTCTCTTCCTGTAAAAAGAGAAAATCTACTTTAAAACACCTCATCTTCTCCATGGCATTTATGTTCTCTCCTCTCTCAAAAATCCACTGTCATTTCCAATTGGGCATCTGAGTACTTCCTCATGCTTCTTGTTGGACATCGCCTTCTATAGAGAAAAGGATGCATTCAGTGAAATTTGGTGGATTCCAAAGGCCCAAACATGAATGCAGTTCATGAATTTTATCTTATCTCGAAAGCACAAACCATTATTGCACTATACGGGCTTGGGAAAATTGCATGCCTTTTCATTTTGGATTTTGATAATATATATACGCACATGCACACGCGTATATATATACATATTTACACACACACACACATGCTTTTTGTTAAATACACATATATATACCTATGCACATGCACGTGCACGTGCATATATATATATAAAATTAAAATAAGAATATGAGTGTGATAATTGTACATGGTGTATATAAAGTATATATGTGTAAGAGGATTTGAGTGTGATAATTGTACATGGTATGATGTGTATATATGTGTGTGTGTGATTTGGTGATGTATGCTGTGTGAAATAGACTTCATGGTGACAACAAGTCGAATTGGTTTTGTCGCATGATTTATGGCAATAACAGGAAGAAACGCATTTAAAACCTTGTAAAGGTGTACAATCGTTTATTTTTCCTTCTAATATTATTCTTGGGCAAATATATTTTTTAGGTTGTGTATATATATCCTAATATGAAAAAAATTTCATCTCAAAATATTATGAATGTTTATTATTTGTTTAATTTAATTAATTTATTATTATATATGGGTATTTTAGATAAATTTGCTTAAAACTCATCTATTCTGACTTGTAAACAGGTCTAAGTGGTCATTACATATGTGCATCATTTTGTGTCAGTATCCAAACAGTAAAACAGAGATGATCTTTCCGTTCCTGCAACATTCTCATTTCATTCCATGTTTCATTCCATTCTTGTGTACCGTATGCAGCCTTAATGTTGATTGAAAAGAAAGGAACCTTAGGTTAGCATTAGCTGGTCATAGCATTTTTCCTAGTAGTGAACTTGGAAAGGAAAACAGCATTTAATGTGTAAACAAATGAGGCAGTGATTCACTCTTTTAACTAACAACCAAAATCTACTTAACAGAACCACATATCCCAACTGCAACCGAACTGGATGTAGAAAATCCTTCTCTCAATTTGTAATTACAGGTAGATCTTTAGCATTTGCAGGATTTGGAAGCTGACACTGGTATCTGTTGATATTTTTATATGACAGGATTTCATCTTGTGAGACTGGAGGGTTTTGATGTTAGCTTGTTTGAGCTGCTCTTTGTTGGCTTCTAAAAACTTGGTTTAGAAAATTGCTTTTTATGAGCAAAATTGATACGGAAGGCTTTTTTTTCCATCTGAGGTGTGTCTTGTTTAGACTCCAGCATAGTTAAGGACTCGAGTGATTGCAAAGAAGTGTGTGCTGTGCAGGTGAGCAGCTGGAAGTGTGGATCCTTTTATTGCTATTAACTTGTCAGATTTTGTGTGCAATTTGTCAATATCTTTTGCAAAGCCTGGTAATATATGGACTTTATTCCTGGAGAATTTAGATAAGTGATTTCTGTCAGTGCCAGCTTTGGTGGATAGTAGTGTGCTATGATCTCTCTTTATGCTCATACATTTTCTGGGATTTTATTTTGGGAAGCGCCCTGTGTTCCAATGGAATTGGAAACTTATGTAAATCATGTAAATCATGTTGCGATTTATTTATGTTCCTCTATCTCTTCTTATTGTTCAACAATTATTTTGCATTTAATTTCTCTTGGGGATAGCATTATTGTATGTTTCCTAATATTTGTTGTTTTGTTGTAGGAAATATGATTAAGCTGTTTAAAGTTAAGGAAAAGCAGAGGGCAGAAAATGCCAATGGGATGTCAACTGTCAAGAAGCAAAGCGCAGGAGAGTTACGTCTTCATAGAGGTTTTTATCTCATACGCATTGAATAATTTTAATAATGTAATTTTAAGTGTTCAAATTTAAAGTAGAATTTTGATATTACGTTCTTAGATTGTGGACTATGCTGTGCTAGGACTTTGATTAGCACATGGCTCCTTAAACGTATGTTACATGGACTCTTCTAAATGCATGAAGTACTTGCATTGGACACATGACACATGTTAACTGGTTGGGCAAGACCAGAAAAGTATCATAAAAGTTCCTTATTTATCCTAGAAAAAAAAATTAACGTATCAAAAATATGAATATGTAGCCATGCCTCTCTATTTTTGAGTTTGGGGAGTAAAACCAACTCCTAGACACATACCCAGACCCGACACTTGTATTGGAGACCATATAACATAGCCTAGACGTAGACCTATCAACCAACCAAGCTGGACTGGGTCTGACTTGATCTGATCTGAATCTGTCGATCCGATAAGGAATATGTGTGATTCAGTCCTATATCTTGTTGGATTTTCTGTTTTGCAATCCATATCTTATTTGTAATTTTTGTTAAAGTTTTCAAAATATAAATTAGAAAAAGTGAGAGGAAGAGAGAGAGGACCAAAAATATGAACAAGAAATGAGAATACTTAAAGGAAAAAATAATAATAGAGTGAGCAAAATCAATAGAGGAAAGAAAATGATAAAAAAAAAAAAAAAGAAGAAAAACTGAAATAACTAAAATTTCCAATTCTATACTTGATAAACTATTATGTAAATAATATCTTTTATTAATTTTCTCAAGAAATGCACACTAATTGAATGATAAATAACCAACGGGCCAGTGGCTTATCAGCCTCTTACCTCCTAAAGGGAGGTCAGGGGTTCAAGTCTCAGTAGAGACATGTATGTGTGAGTACCACCAACTAGGAAAAATAAAATAAAATTGAATGATAAATAATATATGTGGTTGAATAGTATTATTATCGGATCGGATTGACCATAATCCATATTTGTTTTGTTAACTAAACGGATTATTGTATTTAGATCGTGAATGGATTATCAGGTTAAATATTCAACCCACATCCGAGTTATCAGACTGGATTCAGATCGAATTCGGATAAAAATTCAATTTGTTGACAGGTCTACCTAAACATAATTGCTTATTTGCTGCTTGATGTTATCATTACTTTTTGTGTCAGTTTTTGAGGGTTATTGTGGTGACGCAAGTTATTGTTCATCCTGATGCTATTCATGGATTAAGACATTTAATTGGCTGCAAGAGCCAAATCACCAGTTATTTGTCAGTCATATTAAGCGACTTAATGGTGTTGTCTCATTTACTAGGTTTTTTTTTTACACCAGTAAAAATTGCTGCTCCCAAGCTTTCTATTTTTGCCATCTTTTTTAAGCTCCTCATTATTGAAACTAGGTGTTGTGATGCTTAGTGGACTTCTAATTCGTTCCAGGAGTATTTTGCAGAGCCTCTTGGCATTGGACCTTCTGTATTAACTGGCTTGTATGAAATTGTTTTATTTTATGAATCCACTTTTTTTTTTGATAAGTTTATTTTATAAATCCAATTAATTTGCTATATGAGGGTTGATACTAAAAGTGGGTTCTTATATAATTAATTAATGAGTTTACCTTCATTTCTTTCGTCATATTTAATTCCTTTAGGTTCTTATCTGGTTTTTTGCATTTTTAATCTTGTAGACATTAGTGAATTGAACCTGCCAAAAACTTGTAGCGTATCATTTCCGAATGGCAAGGATGACCTGATGAACTTTGAGGTGACCATACGGCCTGATGAAGGATACTACTTGTAAGTAATTAATCTTATGGAGATCTCATTCCTTTATATGTTCTGCATGGAGTGATTAGGAATTAAAATTTTACTGGGAATTATGTGTGTCCCTGTGGTTGGAGCCCAACCAATGCACAGGTAAAAGGTGGTTTAGGTTAGAAAATCTAAATTTGCACTATACCAATTGTATTTGGTTTTCTTATCAAGAAAAAAAAAAACACAAAAATACTATTTGGTTTTGAGGTTTGTCTTCTATCAATCTTTGGTGTATGGTCTCAAATAGAACCTTAGGACCCAAAAATCTGTGATGCCAATGAATAGTATAGGTTATGCTTGGTTTTGGATTATTACATAGGTAAAGCTAAATTCTTGACCTTCATGGGGAGGATAAGCATATCCCCATATTATTACATGGATACGCTAATCTCATTTAATGTACAAAAATACCCGTTATTTGATTTAAAAAAATAATTAATTTAAGGGCATTAATGTAATTGATGTCAGAACACATTCCCATATTTTCTTCATTTTCTATTACTATTGATAGTAGGGACCAGAAACAAGCCTCAGATGGAGTTGCACAAGGCTTGTGATCTAGAACCACTAGAGAGGAAGAGGAAAGAGAGAAACGGGGGTGGGGGGGTTGGTTGTAAGTAATGTACATAGAGATTTTTACGTGGAAACGCCAAAGGGGAAAACATGGATCTCTTCAGGGAAACCAAATCCACTATAAGAAAGGAAGCTTGCAACCTAGGTTAACAGTTTCCGAAACCTACCTCTTTGACACAAATGATGTCAAATTTTCTCCCGGAAGTCTGTAGGCAGACCTCTACTCATCGATAGACTTTGCTCCATCAATTCACACATCAATTCTATGAATGATGAATGTAAAAACAAAAACAGGATGCACTCTAGGACTCACAGATTTGCTCTCCATGAATAGATGAGTTTTATATTATTCTGCCCTTAGTATAATTTTTATATAGGCAAGATAGAAGTATAGAGAGACTAAGATAAATAGAGTTATACCTCAATTTGGAAATTGTTTTTTTGCATAATTCAATCAATTGATTGGCGAAACTCCAGTAGGCCTCGATCGAATGAAGTTTACTACAGTGTTAACTTAAAAAGATTTCAATTCTGTTAAGTTCTCAAAAACTCTTTTAATGCATGTTTTGAAACTTTTAGGGAATTAAGTAAAGACCAAATCATGAAAACTTGGAAACCCCATGTATGCGTGCATGAACCATAATTTTGGTGAGTGAATCAGTATCTTAAATTACCTTTTTACACTTTTAGAAGAAGATTACTTATATATCCTTGAATGTAGATTGCAATTCCTTTTTCGACCTTGAGTTGGAGGTAATCAACTAACATTAACCAACTTTTGAAATTTTCTAATCTAAACTAGGAATTAAAACAAAAGTTACAGGCTCCAATTTTGTTCTGTGAAATTTGCCAACTTAAGTCCTATTGAACTAACAATAACTAATCTTTTTGTATAGTTCCATCAATCGATTGACGAAACTCCAGTAGGCCTTGATCGCCCTAGATCGATTGAAGTCTACTGCAGTGTTTACTTATAAAATTTTCAATTTAGTAAGTTCTCAAAAACTCTTTTAATGCATGTTTTGAAACATTTTAGGGAATCAATCAAGATCAAATCATGAAAACTTGGAAACCCTAGTTATGCGTGCATGAACGATTATTTTGCTGAGTGAATCAATATGTTAAATTACCTTTTTACATTTTTAGAAGATGATTACTCCTATTCTCCTGCATGTAGATTGCAATTCCTTCTTCGACCTTGAGTAGGAGGTAATCAACTAACTCTAACTAACTTTTGAAAAATTATCATCTAAATTAAATATTGAAACAGAAGTTACAGGCTCCAATTTTGTTCTATGAAATTTTGACAACCTAAGTCCTATTGAACTAACAATAACTAATCTCTCTACATTCCAAATCTATGAAAACCAAGGCATTTCTAACCTCACCAGCAATCATCTCCTTCTTTACCGAAATATCACCTTCTGCTGTTAGAATCTATGGAGTTCATGGTCTCCTCTTCGTTGTCGGTCATCTCTTTATCTGAACCGACTTTCTCTCTTTATATATATGCCAAAATTTATGGTGTCACTTTCACCAGAGGTTGCCTACCTGCCAAAATCCATTGGAATCCAGTCTCCATCAGCAGTTGGACAACCCATGTTTCTTCATCATCATCATATGTTTTATTTATTTATTTTGAGAAGTAAGTGGTTTATTTATTGAATCAACGCAAAGGACAAAGTCCTGCAAACAAAATTCAGGGGCATACCCCAGAAAACAACCTCACAGAATACAAGAAAAACCCCCTACCACAACACTAAACAACAAGACTCAGAAAACAGACTGATAACAAGATAAAAGAAAACCAATAGAACAAACATAGAAAGTACCCCAACCAAACTACCCACGAAACCATACAAGCAGCCATTAGGTAGTATTGCTAGCAGACTCCCCACCATCCTTAGGCAAAAGCACTCTCTTTGGCTTTAGAGTACCAAGACTAGTTTTACTCTTTGAAGCATGCCTCAACAATCTGCCCAAATTCAAAACAGGTTGGGAAACAATTTTAGGAGTAGCAGACCTTCCTGTATTAGTATCCTCATCCAAAGTATTTAACACCTCAAGTTTACACTGAGAATTCCGAAGCTCTTCAACAATATCACTATTCCCGGAAGCTTTAACAATCGATGCATAAGATACACCCCCAGGAACCCTAATACCAGCCTCAGTTATAGTAGCTGGAGCACCAATAAGAGATAAAGAACCAGGTAGATCAGTATTAGAAAGCATACCTTCAGTTAACAAATAACCTCTAACCTCCTGGTTTTCCACGGAAGAAACCCCATGACCAGTCACTGAATTCTGCTTGGCCACTGCAACCCATCCTGGTTTAACCATCTTATCCACAAGAGCACCTGCAGACAACATGGCACCTTGGAGAACATCCCCCACATCACAATTCTCTCTACTACTAACCACAGAGCAATTGTCCAACATATGACCAAACACACGGCAATGGGTACACTTAGATGGAACCCACTGATACTCAACAGGAATTGGAATATGATCACCATTCGGTTAAGCCAACTTAACGTCAACAAAATAGAATCAACATTGATCTCAATACATATTCGGGCAAAACTTAGATGTTTTCAGCTTTCAGTTATAGAATCAGTGTATAATGGCCTACCTATAGCACTAGCTATATAGCTAAGCCTCTTCGAATTCCAATACTCAAACGGAATATTCGAGAATTTCACCCAGATAGGTAGTTTATCAACCTCTTCCTTCTGAAGAGACACCCCTCGCTGCCACTTTTTCAAAATCAAAAAACAATTGACAAAATGCCAAGTCCCTTTATCCAAGACCCTATTCCGACCTTCCTCAGAGGTAAACATGAAAATGAAGAAACTTTTACCTGTGCCGATTACCTCAACTAAACCCTTCTTGCTCCATAGCTTGAAAGGAATAGATTCAACAGACAAGAACAGCAATTTCTTGTCAATAAAATATCCCACAAGACATCGTCCCCACTCAAGACTACCAACATCAGCTAACACGGCCTGCGGCTCAACCACTGCTGCTTCCCTGGAAACAGGAGGTAAATACCGGAATTCCATATGTTAAGGTTCAGATTCGTGTACAGGAACAGGTCCGGGATTAGATTCGGATCTGGGTTCGAGAACGGATCCAGGTTTGGGTTCGGATACCACTTGAACCCTCGACCCATTTACAGTCTTACCCGGAACCTTAACCGAAAATGAAGCTCCATTCAAGCACGGATCAACTAAATGGGCATCACTGTCATCTGCCACATGGCTCAAATCGGTACCATCATCTATATGTTTTAAATTTAGTCTCTCGCTGGAATCCATGGGCATTGATGTCTCGTGAATGAGAAGAGTCGGCGAAATCTTGCCTCTCTGAATTTCATGGTTTTCATAATTTTGCCCTAAGATCCATGGCATCGAAACTCAGGCGCCATGGAAAAGGTGCTGTATAAAAGTATTATGACACTGATTTGGGAATGTATTGATCATTTTTCAATTGTTTTTTTTATATTAACTTTTCATTTTTCTTAGAAAATCGAGTGAGGAAGCTCAAGAAAACGAAGGAACATTATCAATTTTTTATCTTCGACTTCATGAAGAGAGACCATGATTAGAAAAAAAAAAAAAAAAAACGTTGGTGAATGCAATTGCTAGGGATGAGAGGGACATGGATGTGGTTTGAATGCCGTCGATATTGAAGATGGAGGTGAAAAAAAGTTCGAATACAGAATGATAGTGACACCCTTCACTTGAAATGCTAAGCAACAAGAGTGTTTTTCCCCCTTCCCTGTGAAACTAATGTGGGGACATGCTTATCCTCATGATGAAGGTGGTTGGGGAGGTTAGCTATTAACAAATTGTTAACATAAATGTCTGGCTAATACATAAAAGGACTTATAGACTAATTCTTTTCATCAAACTGCATTTGTCTAACCAAAAACAAATTTAATTACTTTTATTGATTCCAAAATCAACCAAATCAACATAACTCGACTTGGAAAGCAAGTAGAATAGATAATTAATGAATCATCCCCTCCCATCCCCACCCAAATAAAAAAATTCCTCTCTTCCAATACTGAGCAAATGTCTGGAGAAAAAGATTTTGTGGTCTTAGTGCATGTGCTTTCCCCTACTAGTATCACTATAGACAGATGTCAATATTCTAGAAAAGTGTTGCAGTTCCCAATATGGAATGTTCATAATCATTGGTTTTTGATAACCTTCATTGTTACTTTGCTTTGGGACCATTTAGCGTTGTCTCATGCTCCTTTGTATGCCATGTGCAATGTGTCTAGTTATGAATTCATTCTGGGGTTGGCGGAAAATGCTTGATATGCTCTTCTATGTTATTCTCATTTAGGCGACATAATTAGTTGTCACTAGGTTTGCTCATTTCTTTGTTATACTTTTCTGTTTATTTTTTTATTATTGGTATAGAACACCTAGTTAGTTAGCCATGAATATTGGTTTCTTGTGACAGAGGCGGTACATTTGTATTTTCTTTCCAAGTTCCTCCTGTCTACCCTCATGAGCCACCAAAGGTCAAGTGCAAGACAAAGGTAAAAGCTAGTCCTGTTTGCGAAAGATGGCTCTTCTTTACATTATTAATTTCTTAATAATGTTTGCTCGTGGATGTGGTTGGCATTTTAAACAATGCATCCCACTTGCAGGTGTATCATCCTAATATTGACTTGGAAGGAAATGTCTGCCTTAACATATTGCGAGAAGACTGGAAGCCTGTTCTCAATGTAAATACTATAATTTATGGGCTGTTTCACCTTTTCACGGTAATTATATAGCTCCTTTTATGAATAATCTTTTCCAACTTGATGGGTGGACTGTATTTACAATTTTTTTTGTGCATTTGCGAGAATGCAGCAACCCAATTATGAAGATCCCCTCAATCAGGATGCAGCTGCTGTGTTAAGAGATAATCCAAAGATGTTTGAATCCAATGTGAGAAGGGCAATGGCTGGTGGTTATGTGGGACAAACTCTCTTCCCGCGATGCATGTAGCAAAGCGTACATCATGTGCCAAATTCTTTGCTCAAAGGTCAAAAGCTTTAGATTTGTTTGTGTGTTTTACCTTTCGGTTTGCTGCTGGGATTCAAAACCTATGGAATCATGAAAGCAAGGCCAACTGAAGGGGGTGCTTGTATTCTGGTGTAAGTTATGGTGTAACCTAAGATACGTTTCTAACTTCACTATGAATTTATACTCTCTTTATTTATAAATGTAACCCAGACATGTTATTTCCCACTTTAAATTCTCTGCAAAATTTATATTTTCGATGGACATATGGCTCGCCAAAGAAACACACAGAAAAGCAGCATTGAATTTAAACTGTTGAAGTTCATTTTGCTTTGTTTCGTTCCTATCCTGCAATAAGCAGCGGGAAATCTTCTTAGAAGAACGAGTAGGAGCAGCAAGGGCAGCGCGGGAAAACGCAATTCTTTACGGAAGGTTTAACAGGAAATAATGCAACTCCTGTAACTACCCAATAACTGCTGTACATAAGAGATAACGGAGATGTCACCAAATCCAGCAATTGAGTGCTTATGTAGCATGAACACGGGTACGCCAAATTTAAAAAAAGTAGGACATGAGTACGATTTGGACTCGGCTATATATAAATATGATTTTTTATTTATATACATTTATTGAGTAATAGTATTATAAAAATTCATATTTAATTTTTATACTAAGAGTTATAATGACTTTTATATTAGGGATAATTTTATAAAAATGGAGTTTTGAGGGTCAAAGGACAAAAGAATGAAGTCAAAATCAAAATTTTCAAATTAATGAAATTTTATGAAATTCTGACGCGAACATGGAAACTTACCGTACATCATCTTTTTATTTCCAAAATACCCTTCTATAGTTATGAAATTACGCTACTACCCTTCTCATATCAAAAGAGAGAAACACATCTGTACACACAAATATTGTAAGTCTGCAAATAGAAACAAAATATGAAGCAAATAGTAATTTATTAATTTGGAAAATTTGAGTACAATCCTCTGTAATAATATTCTTTACAAAAAGAATGGTCCTCTTATTCGATCTCCTTTTTGTTGTTGATTGGATTCAAGGGCTACACAAATTTGTTCTTGAATCACCGTGAAATTTGATGAAGAATGGCACGTCGTTGGATGTGCTTGTTGTTGATCACCGTGGAATTTGATGAAGAACGGCACGACTTTGGATGTACTTGATGTTCTTCGCTTTTGGGTTTGGATTCTGAATTTGTGTCTCTGAATTCTGAGTTTCTGGATTTTTGAACTTCTGAATTCTGAATTTGTGTCTGAATTTCTGGACTTCTGAATTCTGAATTTGTGTCTGAATTTCTGGACTTCTAAATTCTGAATTTGTGTCTGAATTTCTGAACTTCTGAATTCTGAATTTGTATCCTTTGTTGAATTTAATGAAGAACGACACGTCTTTGGATGTGCTTATTGTTCTTCGTCTTCAGAGAGGAGAGAATTTGTTAAATTTGGTGAAGAACGGCACGACTTTGGATGCGCTTGTTGTTCTTCGCTTTCAGGTTTACCCTTGGGATTTCTGGCCCTCTGGATTTCTGGACCTTTTGGATTTCTGGACTCTAAATTTGTCTCCCTTCTTCTTCCTCCAGGCCTCTATTTATAGGCTTCTTAGATTGATAGGATGATAACACGTGTCATCTCCTGATAAGGATAAAATTATAATTGGGCCGGACCGGTTATATTATGATAATTATCCTTAAAAATAATTATTCCAAATATATTTTATTAGGAATAATTATCTGTTTATTTTACCATATGGGTTGGGCTAATTAAATAGTTTAAATGGACCAAACTTGGGCCAATTAAATAACTTAATTAAACATTAAGCCCATAATAGGTCAATTTGTCAAAACTAAAGCTCACTAAATTTTTAGTGTCTACAAATTGCCCTCACTTCAAGTCCCAGGTTTGATAGGACTTGGTCTCCTTTTTCAAGTGGGACTTGAAGTACCCAATTTTCCTTTTTTTTCCTTTCCTCTCTAACTTTGGATTGTAAGACTTCCTCTTTTGCTTTTCTATACAACTTTGGATTGGAATTTTATTTTCCTATTTGAATCATACAAATCAAAATACAAATAGGAGGTATTTTGTTGCCTATATATACCCCCAATAGTATAGGGTTTGACATCAATTCCAATATTCTCTGAAGACTTGTCAGATCACAACTTCTGAAGACGGTGTTGGATTGCAGCCTTTGCTCGAACGAATAATTGGTATGACTTTTTTTTTTTCGTTTCTTTTCTTTTCTTTTTTTTTTTTGGGCTTTTCAGCCTTTCCTTTTCTTTTCACCCATTTTTTCCACGTCACGAAAAAAAAAAATTCCTCTTTTTTTTTTTTTTTTTTTTTTTTTTTTTTTCCACGATTTTTTTTCCCACGTTTTTTTTCTCTCTTTTTTTTTCTCTCTCTTTTTTTTTTTTTTTTTTTTTTTTTTTTCTTTCCTTTCTTTTTTTTTTTTTTTTTTTTTCTCTCTCTTTTTTTCACGACGCTCTTTTTTTTTTTCACGCCTTTTTTTCTTTCCTTTTTTCTCTCTCTTTTTTGCACGATTTTTTTTTTCAGCCTTTCCTTTTTTCCTTTTTCCTTTTTTTTTTTTCCACGCTAGAATTTTTTTTTCTTTACTTTTTTTTTTTTCCACGCCTTTTGTTTTCTCTTTTTTTTTGCCTTTCCTTTTTTTTTTCCCTTCCTTTTTTTTCTCTCCTTTTTTTTTTTTTTTTTTTTTTTCACGTATGTCCTTTCCTTTTTTTTTTTTCACGAATTTTTTTCCTTTTTCCTACCTTTTTTCACGACTTTTTTTTTTTTCACAAATTTTTTTCGTCTTCCTCTTCCTTTTTTTTCTTTTTTTTTTTTTTTCCATGCGCCTTTTTTTCTTTCCTTCTTTTTTTCCCTTTGTTTTTTTTTCTCTCTCTTTTTTTTTTTGCACGAATTTTTTTTTTTTTTTTTTTTTTCACGCATTCTTTTCTTTCCTTATATATATATATATATATATATATATATATATATATATATATATATATATTTCAGTGGTGCTAGTCAACCATGGTGTTTTTCAAGAGTTTCAAGCCCCATACTATCACCGTTTTGGAGCGAGAACAGACTCTGAGAGGTCATGCCACCAGCACAGACAGTGTCGTCAGCAGCCACGAATCGACTTGGAGCATAGCGAGATATGTAGACCACGGAGGCTTTATCAACAACTCAGACAACATTATCAACACCTATTGCCAGAACATCTTCATCAACCATGGATTATCCTACAGCCATTTATAGAGCAAAAATAGACTTCGAGAGGTCATGCCACCAGCACAGGCAGTGTCGTCAGCAGCCACGAATCAGCCCAGAGAGCAACGACAGATGTAGATGGAGAGAGGTTTTACCACTAGCTTAGACAACGTTGTCAACACCCGCCGCTAGAGCGTCTTCATCAGCTATGGATCATCCAGTAGCCATTGATAGAGCGAGACCAAACTCTGAGAGGTCATGCCACCAACACAGGCAGTGTTGTCAGCACCTATGAATCAATCCAGAGAGCAACGACAGATGCAGTTTTCATTTACCACATATTAGACATCAATTATTCAGAGAGTAAGAACAAACTCCAAGAGGTCATACCACCAGCATTGTTAGCCATCGCCAGAACGTCTTCATTAACCATGGATCATCCAGCAGCCAATGATAGAACGAGACCATACTCCGAGAGGTCATGCGACCAGCACAGACAGTGTCATCAACGGCCATGAACGAATCTAGAGAGCAATAACAGATGTAGTCTTCATAGGTCACAGATCAGACATTAACCATTCAGAGAGTAAGAACAAACTCCAAGAGGTCATACCACTAGCATTGTTAGCCATCGCCAGTTTTGATGATGATTTCAAGCCGAAGCTCCACCAAAAGATCTGACTCAACCAGTAGCCACTTGACATGAAGTTACTGAGTTACGCAAGTGTGCTTGTGCATATTTGTCTGGAAGATAGAGCTTTGCTGCAGATGCTGTAAGGATGTAACAGACAAAGCTTGCATGCCTATGCCTCCGTGTGGTGATTTGTTTTTACTTCAGCAATATCTTGGCGACACCGTGAATTATTTCTTCAATGACACCTCAACGGAAAGCTAAATTTCTCTTTCACAACACCTCGACAGCGAGCAAATATTTTTTTAGCAATACCTTGACGGAAAGTCAAAATTTTCTTTCAGCAACACCTTGGTGGTGAGCAGAATTTTTTTTTCTTTCAACGACACTTCAGTGGTGAGTTTTACAACAACACCTTGGTGATGAACAGAATTCTTCAGCGACGCCTTGGCAGCAAGCAAAATTTCTCTTTTAGCATTACCTCGACGGTGAGCAAAATTTTTCTAGGAAGCTACAGTTTGGCGACGAACCAATTTATTTCTTCACAACTACACTTTGCCGAATCAAAATTTCTTTTGTAGCTACAACTATGACGACAGACCAAAATTTCTTTTGTAGCTACACTTTGGCGATGGGCCAAATTTCTTCCTTACAGCTACAATTTGGCGACAGACCAGAATTTTCTTTGCAGCTATACTTTGGTGGCGTACCAAGTTGACAGAATGTGATGAATCACTTTTGATATCATGCGATGAACACACTTTGCCCTTTTTTTTTTTTAGAATGACTGAACTTGGAACAAACTTCCAAGATGCCTACATACCCTAAACAGGGATCAAGTCATCATGTAGTTCACAAATTTTTTTTTTTTGGTAGACAGTTTATATTCATGTCAAAGAGTTTTTTTTTTTTTTTTTTCTTCAGGCGGACAATTTATACTCGTGCCAAGGAGTGTTGTTTTTTTTTTTCTTCAGATAGACAGTTTATACTCATATCAAGGAGTGTCAATTTTTTTTTCAGGTAGATAGTATAAGCTCGTGTCAAGGAGTGTCATTTTTTTGTTTGGGAGACAGTTTAAACTCGTATCAAGGAATTCTTGATTTTTTTTTTTTTTTTTTCAGGTAGACAGTTTAAACTTGTGTCAAGGAGTGTCATTTTTTTTTTTTTGGGAGACAGTTTAAACTCGTATCAAGGAGTTCTTGATTTATTTTTCAGGTAGAGAGTTTAAACTCGTATCAAGGAGTTCTTGATTTTTTTTAAACTCATGTCAAGGAGTGTCATTTTTGTTTTTTTGGGAGACAGTTTAAACTCGTATCAAGGAGTTCTTGATTCCTTTTTTTTTTTTTTTTTTTTTTTTTTTTTCAGGT